GAATTTATATCTTTAATTAATGATGATTTAGATAATTTTTCAAAGAATTTGTTCTTAATAAAACTTTGGAAAAAAACTGACAATATAAAAGAAATTTTAAATCATCGCGATAAAATTCTTAAAATTATTAAATATTATATTTTTGGTAAGTATTTAAAAATATAAATATAAATTTATTTTAATGTCAATATAAATTTATTTTAAAAATTTTTTATTATGTTGTTTTTTATTAATTGTTTAAATATGCATAAATATATAGTTTAAGTTTATAAGAAACAATCATTAAAAATATAAAGATGTTTTTGAAGACAATAAATATACACAAATGAAATTTTTCTATAATTAAATTATTTATTGTATTAAATGTATAATATAATTTATAAAATCTAAGAATTAAATATTTTAGTAATTAATACTAATAAACTTATTAGTAAAAATTAAGAAAGATATATATATATATAATGAAATCTTAATTTTAATATTCGTATCTTATTTATGCTATATCAAAATCATCTCTCTGTAATAAAAAAGTATATAACATTAATAAGTGTAATAAATTTAATATTAATTTAATATATGATATGAATATATTTTATTACTTTATTACTTACAGCATCATTGTATTCTAATACATGTATTTTAATAGCTGATGTGTCTACCCAAGTAACAAAATCTTCCAGATTTCTATATTTATTTTTTAATGTTTATTTTATTCTTTCATATTTTATTTAAAAATATTTTATGCATACCTTGTTATTAAAAATGCTGGATCTTTTACAACTTCTGTACCAACTCTAACATGACCTTGTTCTATGAATTGTGTAGCCATTTTTAAGTTTTGGCTCATTTTATTTCGTACCATAACAACTGGCAAACGTCTTCTACAAAATGAACTGGCACTCACTTTTTGTGTTAAAGACAAATCCCATTTTGTTGCTATAAGTCCCATCATATATAATTTCTCTAATAATAATGCACTCTGCTCTATTCGAAATGGATGTTCTGCGTCAATTTCTTTAATTTTTTTGCCTAATTCACGAATTTCTCGTGCCAATTTATTATATCTGGAATAATTAATGTTAATATATAATTATGTTGCATATATATTTATGAAATTTATGTTTAATATATGTTAATATGCAATAGACTTACTTCGTATAATCTTCTCTTTTTTGTATTCGATAACGTTTTAAAATTTTTATTTCGTGTAAATTATTATCTGCTTCCCATGATATAAAATCAACTTTTTTTAACAATTTCTGTTCGTGATATTTTAATTTTCGTACCATAATTGTCACAATCAAATAATTATTATTACGTATAAAGAATATAAACTATAATATATACTTAACCTGCATCTATTTATATATTTTGTTTTGATAATAAAGAAGGTTAGGTATTTATAAGTATTTGTAAGTATAACATTAAGATTGACCAAATAAACGTTTTATAAATAATTAAAATAGATATTAATTATTTTCTGAATATTTCAATAAAAAAATATTTGATACAAATCATTTTTTTACATCTATTTTTTTCTATTAATACAAATTTATAATAATGAATAAGATGTTATTTATTTATATATTTTGTATAATTAAAAATTTAAAATTAAAAATTTTGATTTTTATATGCATTAACAATAAAAAATTTATTATAGGTTTTTTATTCAAATAAAACATTGTAAATAATATTAAATTAAACAAGATTAACAATAAAAAATTAAATAAAAGATTTACTTAATTTTATAATGAATAAAAAAAGCGAAAAAGTAATGCCAGGTGATGGTTTACGATCTTTAAAAAGTACAATATTATTTCGTACAATTAATTATGAATTATATATTAAACCGGTAAGATTATTTTTTAAATTGAAGTAAATTTATAATGATTTTAATTTATTTTATTTTATTTTAATATATAATAATAATATATTATAAATATCATAGATAATAGGTTGACGATTATATAATAATTATTAATTCCTAAAAAACAAAAATTCTTTATATATTATATTATATATTTTTTCATATTAAAAATTCATTATACAATTATCTAATAATAATTTATTAAATAATTAAATGTTATATGTTTATATTAAATATTTGAATTTTTAAATATAATATTAATAAATTATAAAAACATCTTCTTAAAATAATCTGATTTCTTTTTCAGAATAAAATAATAATGATTTTTGGAACCATTGCAATGTTTGGTTGTGTAGGGTATATTGTTTATATGCAACATAATTCTAATAATAAAAAATACTATTCTGTAATTAATTCTAATGGAACAATTGATTTTAAAAAGAAAATATCAAAATGGACAATGTAATTTACATATTTTTTTATGTTCATTAATATTAATTACATAAAATATAGAATTATTACTTATTATATTAATTAGTTTATTATATTCTATTTTATTGTCAATTATTAATTTTCTTATTATTATTTCTATTATATGTATTTCAATGATATGTAACAATAATTTAAGATTCCTTTTTATATAAAAATATTTTATTATAACACATAAATTTTTCAATTCTTATTGTGATACTTTGAATTTAATACTTATATAAATATATTAATATATATATTTATATATATTTAGAATATATTTTTTTGATATATTAATTTTAACAAAATATTATTTTGAAAAATGTAAATAGCATTTTATACCACATATATTTTAGATATACATTATATGTATGTTCTATACATATATACATAGAAAGTTAAATTTTGTTATTATTTTATACAAATTATTAATTTTGGCAGTATATAAGATTAATCAAAAAAGTACACTTAGGTATGTTATAATAAACAGTTTAAAAATTGTTAAAAACAATAATATTATGTAATATTAATAACAATAAATGTTACAATGAGTGTTATGTACATATATTTTTATAAAGAATACCATAATAGATTTAAGATATAAATATTATTTATATCTTATATATGTTTTTACATATTACTTACAATGAATAATTATTACAATTATGTTAGTTTTAGTATATCTTTCTGTAATTTTTATAAAGATCTTGAATTTGGTCCAGATTTTTGAACAAGAAATATTCTAAGCTTTTAAGTTAACTAAATTACATAATAATACTAAAAATATATATGTATGGTTTTATATATGCATATAATATATATATATATTATTTATTAAATATTTTGTAAATGTATAGCTTTTTCATATGATTTAATATTAATATGTAAATATTACTTTAAAATAATTGATTATGTTGTATTATATTATATATATAAAATTTAAAAAAATTCAATATGTAATTATATTTTTCATATGTAATACTTCTAAAAAAATGATTATAGAACATAATTATTATTTTATATAAATTGATATGATTTTGTTTGAAATATTTGTATCTTTTATTTCATAATTTATAAGTTATTGGAAGCATTTAGGGAAAATAAAAAATTTATTCTATTTTTAATATAGCATAATGGATTATATCTATATTAAAGGAAAGTTATACATGTTTTCTAAAATATTCTCTTGTTTTTTATTTATTTAAAATGAAATGTTTTAATACTAATTATAAGATATATTAATGTATATAACTGATTTCAATTCTATAAATATAAAAAATATAGTATCAATTTCTTTTTGTATAGAAAACGATAACAATTAATTTATCCAGAACAAAGTAGTAAATAGGAACAATGATTTCAAATTAATGATTTCAAATTTTATATAATTCTCATAAATATATCGCTTATTATTAAAATA